TTAAACATGTTCTTTTTGTGATTTGTATGTATACTACGATATATGAAATACTTTAGCTTGCCCCGTCATGTAATCTTTCTATATGATCTCTTTTCTCAACAAGGGAAAAAGGACTTGCCAGAATATCTATTTCTGTCTAGCCAGAACTAAAACAGATTAGCTATGCAGTCTTTCTCATTAAATCCAATGTCAAGGAGATAATTACTCATTTTCCTGCAACACTAGTGACGATTTATACTTCCTCATTGGTAGAATATTCTGGTATAGTCCAATGACTTTTTTTCTCTCTGGAGAGAAAGACCTCTGATCTAGGTAGCAGAAGGGGGTGTTCTGCCTTTGATTAGGAGTTAACCATATGGCAGGATTTCTACTTGGCTCAGCTTCTCCCAATGCTTTCTCATTAGAATTACCTACAGAGACTCAAACCTTTAGAGAAAGGTCTGGTGCTGGTAGTATGGTAAGTGTATACAATATCGTTGAAGAAATGAATGAGTGTAAAGAATTAAAGTATGAATTATTGAACACAAACTTCAACTTCAAAGTGTTTCAGTTTCTTTGGGTACTTTCCACTTGGGTTAGACTCTTTGCTTTGGAAGCTAAATAATGACATCAGATGCCTTTTGATGCCCCATTTTATGGGTCTCAGGCAAGCGTCTTTAGTTTAATTTTCTGTTATTTGAATGTTTGGATTATAAAAGCTCCACAGTCTTTACGACAAAGGGCTAGATGAGGAATGCTGGAGATCTCTCAAGCACTTACCCAAGATATTAGCCAGGATCCCAGGGTATGAAGGGCTACTAAGAATGACCTAGGTAGCCATTAATGGATCTTTTCAAGGATTGGGGATTTGTAATAGAATGCTCGTATTCCTTCCTTCTCTGCTCAATCCCAGCTAGGTTAGTTCCTGCTCATTAGTTGATGATGTTGAATGAATCCACAGCATCAGCTGCTAAAGTCAAGCTTCAGCATGTAAGAAGTAGTTTTCCAGGTTGTGAGTTCTGTTTTTCTAATATATTCAATGAGTCGAGGTAAGAATAGAGGAGAGCAGGATGAGAGATACCATAATACATCGAGTCATTATAGGCTTGAGGAGAGAGCTGACACTAGTGAGATCTCCAGAGATCTACAAGGATAACAACAACTGGCAAACTAAGCAACAGTGGAGAGACTACACTAATAGCCCCTCCTTGATAATAGGGTTGATGACTACACTATATGCCATCCTAGAACCTTTGTCCAGGGACTGATGGAAGCAGAGACAGATATCCACACCTAAACCGTGAACTGAATTCCTGGAACCTAGTATCTTACCCAGAATTCCCTAGAGAACTCCTTAATAACTACTTTTAGGAATCAAAGAGGGTAACATCTACATGGAAGTTGTCCTTATAATGGATTCTCATCAAATCTGGTCTTGTATATTTTGTTTTATAAGCTCTTACTTTCTCACTATGCATACCTAGTTCTCTTTCTCCACATTTTTACTGAGAAATTTTTACTAGGGAGACAATAGGCATTATTACTTTGCATCACTATACTTATTTGTTTTCAGTTTTCATTATTTGGGTTAACAAAGTGCATTACATCAGTTGATTGTCACAAGTCTATAATTGAGCCATTTGACTATTTAGGAAACAAAAAGACCATTGTTTTGTGCTTTGCTACTGAAGTACCAGGTCCCTCCCAGTGCCATAAGAATGGCAGGAAGAGCACAGTGAAGAAATGATATTTCTAGAGGAAGGTGGATGGTGAGGATTAGTCACAAGAAATTGTACTCAGTCTTAAAGAATTTATTTTCTTGGTTTATTTGAATATTTAAATTTTGAGTGATAATTATCTAAACAAAATTTCTTATGCAAAAATATTTTCCTGATGATTTCCAGTCAAAACTCGTGGTTCTGAAAAAATATAATTGTTTTACTACTTTGGTATTTAAGGATCAGAGAACATTAATTTAGAATAGTATTTTTAGCTTCAGATAATTGTACTTTTGTGTCAAAAAATCCAAATAAACCATTTTTCTTTTCAAATAGAAACTTTCAGAAATAACTTTTGTAAGTTGGTTTTCATCTAGTCAGCATCTTCTCTCCTCAACAAAATCTTTATTGTAAGTGAACATGACATTTAAGCAATTACTGACTAATTCCAACTTCAGCTATGATTATTGCAAAGCTTCAGTTTAAAATCTTTTTGTTTTTATATGCCTGGTCAAAGAACTGCATCACATTGCTGGGCTTGGATGAAATTTCCACAAAAATGTTAAAAAATAATTTATCTCTCATAAAGTATTTCAGAGAAATTCTCCATGATGGGTGACATATCACACAGAGATCTATAACTTGAAAAGTTCTGGCTTGATTCTAGTAAACTCAAACTAGAAACAGAAGCAGAATGATTGATATTTTTGTCTGCAAGTCATATCACTCATAGCTATAATAAAGCAAGCTTTTCCTTATGTTAACTTCAGAAGTCTTGAAGAATGAATTTAAGTCTGTTTAGAGAATTTTACACCATTTAATCAGTCCTATCTTATTTTCTGCATTACTTAAATCAGATGATGGGGATGACGACGACGACAATGATGATGATAATGATGACTTTGTGACATAGTCTCAGTACACAACCTTGCTTGGCCCATAACTCATCAGGCTAGCCTAGAACTCACACACATCTGCCTTCCTCCACCTCCAGAAGGGAATGTTAGGATTAAAGATTTGTGGCCACCATACCTGGCTAGCTTCTGCATCTCTTAAGAGTTAAACAAAGAAGAATTGGCTAAGTCTGAGCATGAAGAAAGGCAACATTAGTAATTTTAGTGTACACCATCGTAAGTTCAACAAAAAGTCATACATAATTATTAGTTACCTAGAAGCTGCAAAACCACAGCACTGAACATCCATCGTTATACTTCCTAGTATCCAGGAGCATATATAAGAATTTCCTATATTTTAAGAAAGGAAATATTTGATATATTATATCCATTAATTTGAGGATGAATATGAACTACTTGCAAATTTTGTAAACATGATTAAACATGGTACATATGAAACATGGTACACTTTACCATAATAAACATGCTACACTATGTTCTATCGTATTAAGGTAGAAGGACAAATTCAGACATCATAAACACAAACTCCAGACTCAAAGCCTTTTAACTTTCTTGAAAAGGAAAAATAATTTTGTTAGCTATTAATCCATTTAGCATCCAGTACATAAAGGGCAATTGATGACTGAAGGCTCCTGATTTGTGCCGTAAATATTTGCGTATCATCTATTATGCATTTACATATGCTAATAAGCGATGAATTCATATTCAAGTAGGTTCTTGATATGCATACGTTTGCTCTTTGATTATAGATGTTTGTTAACTATGTTTTTAAAGTTTTGTCCTTGGAACTTTCAGTCTTTCAATTATAATCTCCAGAGTTGCAACTGCATTTTAATAAACAATTTAATTCTATATTTGTGCAGGATTTTATTAGAAAAACCTACATATAATCTCACATTTTAGAAAGAGTTTCTCCGAGTCTGTCTTTCTGTGAATACTCCATCGCTCTTTTTTCAGTGCTATGAATCAACACACATGGCAGCTTCATTGTTTTGGTATGCTGAAATGATTGAGTGGGAACTGTGCCCAGGTCAATCCATCTCCAAGCACACTGCCTGTATTATGTGTCTGCCCAAGTAGATTTTCTTTGATGGGCTAGTGATTACTCTCTCTTTTCATCTTAAGAATTCAAAACTATGAAATTCAAAGCTCTGATTTGAACACAACAGTAAAACTATTGAAATTTGCAGTGAGTCCCTGACTTTTACCTAGAATTGGCTGCTTTAGGAATTGCTTTTTGTGTTTCTTCACTTCACGTCTCTAATTAGAATCTGTGAGTTGATCTTTCTTGTGCTATGTTTACTCTGATTAACTGGACTTTGTATTCGTTGTGTTCAGTTAGGATCGATTATTGTTTGCAAAAAGAAATACAGTTTAAAACAAATTTCTAGAAGCTTCTATTTGCAGTATTAAGATAAGTCTGTCACCCTCCCCCAATAAAACACACAGACTGTGACCACACAACACCAGTAGATGACAGTGTTTTCTTCCTCTTGTAAAGGGGCATTTTTCCTATAGATTTTGTGAATTAATGTAATTTTTAAAAGGAGGTAGGGAACATAACAGGCTTGGTGTAAAAATCGAAGGGTAAAATAGAAATGATTGAAGAAAATATTTAAAGTGACAACATTTAATGGTTGTTTTTCGTTTTATAATATTCTTTCTCTCAGAGTATTGAGGTTTCCTTAATACCGGCTGGTTTCCTTAAGACGTTTCTAGATGGCACTCTGAAGCACTTGCCGGAAGGTGGCAGCATAAGCAAGCCCTTCTCCCATAGAGCTGTCCCAGGTGCTGAACCCAATTTCAGAGAGCCTCACAGCGGCTAGCGACAGGGTCTTCAGAAAGTTCTTCTTGGGAGATTTGCAGACTGGTGAAGGAGGCAAAAGTCCAAAGTCCGTAGGAAATGCAGGTCCTTGTTTACCATGCATAGACAAACATTTCTTTTCCCAAAGTTACTTGCTACAAAGCTATGGTAGGTGTTAATGACATTGAAATGAAGAGCGAAGTGGTGATAAAAAGTGTGTGTGTGTGTGTTTAGAATGCACACCTACTTTGATTTTTTTAATCTTTTTTTGTGACCCAGCTGTTTATCAGCTCTTGTCCTTTATCGTGTCCTTTATAATTTTTTCACATTCCATAAGGATACTACGAAAAGGTCATAGGCATCAGCATTCCGGGATACACTAAGATGTTAAATGAGACTGCAGTTTTAAGACGTTAAGACCCACACTCTCAACCTAATAATTTAGAGGGTGACCCAGGGCTGCCCAGATTTCCAGCCTTCAGGCTTTCTGTATCTGTCCCCATTTTCTATAGGCACACTGTGAACCTGGCTCCATTTAAGAAGTTGACAGAAATAAAGGGAATGGGTAGCAGGGAAAGATTTTTGTCTCCCTCTAGTTTGCTGGGCAGGAGGCGGAGTTTAATCTGTTAAAACATTGGTTTGACTGGCGGATCGGAGTGGGCATATGAAGTGAGTTCTGAGTGTGTCGACTCGAATGTAAAGATGCCAGTCTAGAAGGATAGGAGGGCGGGGACCTAGAGGAAGGAGGCAGTCTGGGCTGGGGAAGTCTTGGGTGGTGGGGGTTAGTGTGGGAGGAAGGGAGACCAGCTGTCTGAACAACACATAGAGGGGTAAAGAAAGAGAGAGGTGAGAAGGAAAGGGGAACTGAAAGGGAAAGCCAGTGGGAGGAAACTGGGAGAAGGAGGCTGTAAAAAGGAAAACGGAGAGGGGTGAAGTCCAGAGAGAGAGGGAGAGAAGGAACTAGGAGACCAGGGTCACAGAATGACCCCAGAGCTTGGGGTTTCTGAGATTCCAGACTGATTGCTATTCGGCAGAGTCCCGGCTCCCGTAGCTAGTTGGGCAGCGACAAAGTGAAATGGACAGCGTGAGACAGATGTTCCAGCCACCTCTCCACCACCCAGAGATTTGGAAGCTGCTCTGGGGCCAACTACAGTTTCCTAGCTGGAGTCTTTGAGCGCTCGGGACCCGCGGGAGCCAAGCAAGAGAGAGCGCCGGGAAGCTGCGTCTCCAGAGCAGTAAGAACTTCTTGCTCCAGTTCCTGGATCCCCTCCCTCTGAAATTCCCCAGAAGAGGAGGAAGACCCTAGGGGGAGGGGCGAGGGAGATTCCCTTGCAGCTCTTTCTCCCTCCCTTCCCCCACCCCACCGGGCGTGCAAGCAGGCATGGATATGTTCAGTCTTGGCCAGGGCAACAATACCACATCGTCCCAGGAGCCCTTCGGGACAGGCGGCAACGTTAGTGGCATCTCCGACGTGACCTTCAGCTACCAAGTGATCACCTCTTTGCTTCTGGGCACGCTCATTTTCTGCGCGGTGCTCGGTAATGCCTGCGTGGTGGCTGCCATCGCCCTGGAGCGCTCCCTCCAGAATGTGGCCAACTATCTTATCGGCTCCTTGGCGGTCACCGACCTCATGGTGTCAGTGCTGGTCCTGCCCATGGCTGCACTGTACCAGGTGCTCAACAAGTGGACTCTGGGCCAGGTCACCTGCGACCTGTTTATCGCCCTGGATGTGTTGTGCTGCACCTCGTCCATCCTGCACCTGTGCGCCATCGCGCTAGACAGGTACTGGGCAATCACTGACCCTATAGACTACGTGAACAAGAGGACGCCCCGGCGCGCTGCTGCGCTGATCTCGCTCACTTGGCTCATTGGCTTTCTCATCTCCATCCCGCCCATGCTGGGCTGGCGCACCCCGGAAGACCGCTCGGACCCCGATGCATGCACCATCAGCAAGGATCACGGCTACACCATCTACTCCACTTTCGGCGCTTTCTATATCCCGCTGCTGCTCATGCTGGTTCTCTATGGGCGCATCTTCCGAGCCGCGCGCTTTCGGATCCGCAAGACTGTGAAGAAGGTAGAAAAGAAGGGAGCAGGCACGCGCCTCAGTACATCTTCGGCCCCGCCCCCCAAGAAGAGCTTGAACGGACAGCCAGGTAATGGGGACTGGAGGCGCAGCGCTGAGAGCAGGGCTGTGGGGGCTCCGTGCGCAAATGGCGCGGTTAGGCAGGGTGATGACGATGCCACCTTGGAGGTGATCGAGGTGCACCGAGTGGGTAACTCCAAAGACCACCTGCCGCTGCCCAGCGAGTCGGGAGCTACCTCCTATGCCCCCACCTGCCTGGAGAGAAAAAATGAGCGGAATGCTGAGGCAAAGCGCAAGATGGCCCTGGCCCGTGAGAGGAAGACAGTGAAGACGCTGGGCATCATTATGGGCACTTTCATCCTCTGCTGGCTGCCCTTTTTCATTGTGGCTCTGGTCTTACCTTTCTGTGAGAGCAGCTGCCACATGCCTGCCTTGTTGGGTGCCATAATCAACTGGCTGGGCTATTCCAACTCTCTGCTCAACCCAGTTATTTATGCTTATTTCAACAAGGACTTTCAAAATGCGTTTAAGAAGATCATCAAGTGCAAGTTCTGCCGCCGGTGATGATGATGACAATGATGATGATGAAGAGGAGGCTGGCGTTGATGGAGAAGGAGGAAGAAGGGGAGGACTGCAGGGGTTACAGGACCCTCCCCATTCGCTCAGTATCTCAGCCCTGGGTTTGCTTTTCCTGTGACATGCAGCTTCTCGGCCCATGCTTTCAGATCTTGCTCTCTGTCTATTCCATTTCAAGGGACAGTGCTCTTTGCAGAAACCTTAGAAGTCTCCTAGAGTCTGCAAAAAGCTATTGGCCAAGTCTTCGGCCCTAGGATCAGTTTTAATAGTTGCAATAACCTCCTTCCTCTCCGAAATTAAACCTCGGTGGTTCAAGGCAGAAAATCCAAACAGAAAATATAAGCTGCATGGACGTCTGCCAGGAGAACTGCCACCTCTCTGCCCTACTTCTGGAGCTTTGAGATTCAAGACTTTGCTCTGTCTGCCCCTCCCTCCTGCTTTAGAAACACCTACTTCCCTTTGGGTGTCAACCTTCCCCATTGAGTCTGGCTCCTATGCACTCACTTCTGGTCTGAAAAGCATTTGGGACTACTTTGACCTGTAGGGCCCAGGAAATCTCTGCCTTGCTCTGTAGCAAATGCGAGGCCCACTCCCACCCACCGTACCCAGAGCTCACTTTCTGTGTTTTCTTGAACTCAAAAATCAAGTGGCAACGTGTCTGTTGGAATGGACTTATAAATATACAAGGCCAGTGGGGAAAATCCAGGAAAGCTTGTGGATGGTTTCTCTTCTTGGTGTCAGCTCTCACCAAAGAAACTGACAATCAGACTATTTAGAAAGCAGACTCTTATTTGTATACTTTGGTGGCCTTTCTGTAAGTTCTAGCATGGCCATGTGTCTACTGCAGGAGGCGCCCACTGCTGGCTAGGGAGGATGAACTGGGGATGCAGACCAGGGACAGCACACCCCACCTTCCCTTTGGTTTCTGGAGGAGAGTTCCCTAGAGCACCCTGGGTTTGCAGCATCCAGATTCCTCTGTCTCACCTCGCTCACAGAGTCCAGGAAATGGTAGAGAAGCTAGAGTTTGTGCAAGAGAGAGCAGACCTTGCAACATGTGCCCGAGACCAAGAAACCTCTCAAGAGTGTGGGTGTGGGTCATGTAGAGAGAGGCAAAGAGCAAAAAGATTTGTAAGTGCTTCCAACTCTGGGGCCGCGAGTCCTGAGGAACTCTAAAGGGGCAACTTTAACCATAGGATGTAACTTTGCTCAATCCGCCCCTGTTGATCGAGGAATCGCTTTGTTTAGCATATCCGAATAATGTCTAGATGCATTCTCCCAGACACCCGGGACGCACACAAAATTAGCAGAACTCTGGGCTCTCATTTGAAGGGTTTCAACACTTCACTATTACCTAGAATCTTGATCTCAGAGGAGTGGAGCCCTGAGAGGACAGGTTAGAGGGAGCTCACCAGTCTCGGAATCTAGAGGATTAATTTCTCCCTGGCTCTTGAAACCCCACGGTTCTGTTGCGAAAATCGGTTTGTGTCTTGGGTCCTTTCAGTTTGTAGTTCAGGTTGTACAGAGTTTTTGTTTGTTTGTTTGTTTGTTTTTGTTGTTGTTTTGCTTAGGCATTCTCTCCCTGCAGTTATTTTTGCTGCCCCCTCCTCCACAAGGAAAGTTATTTTGGTGCATTTTTTGAATGTACATTCCCAGCTACGAGAGTGGGCATCAAGGGGTTTGTGTTACATCTGAATCTCGAATTTTCTGCTGAATTATGATTTCATTTTCCAGTAATTATACGGAGTTCCCTTCAGTTGTATCTTTCCCATGTCTGCACCTGCTGTTTTGAAAACCCGTGTTGCATATTTTCGCTGGGGAAGTTGCCGGTTAGATGTCCCCCTTGTGTTTATAAATGGGGAAAAGACGGGAGCCACATGAAGCCATGGTTTTGTTTGTCAAACTGAACAAAGCCTCTATTTGTGTCTTTTGCTCTACTCTAAAGTGGGGATGAGTATGGCATCTAATTGTAAAAGAGCCATTTCAGACCTTAACTCTTAAGCCTGCTGGGCATCTGCATGTGAGAGGTTCATGGGAGCTGCATGGGGACAATAAAGGATGCAAGGGGCTTCTCTAGCACAAGTTTGGAAATTAAAATTTGCCCTTTTTTTCTCACCAAAATTAAGCAGAACTCTATGACAAAAAATTTTTTCTGTGTGTTTTATTATTTTTAGAACAGATTCTTTCTTTGAAATAAATCAACCCCCAAATTTTAGATGTTATACCAGACCAAGACTTTTCACTTCTAGTTTATTTATATTTTTTCCTATAGGAATGTTTGGCTCTGATGGGGTTGGGGTGGCAATTGCTTCTGCTACCTTGAGAGAGAGAGAGAGACTTTAAATAAGACTGGGAAGGGGGCACCCAATTGGAATAGAATTTCCAGTTAATAGTGAAATAAGTGCAACATGCTGCAAGGCTCTAAAGAATCCCAGCTGCTTGTTTTAACATACTTGTACTAAGGTCAAATATTCATGCATAACAACTGGCCCTCACTTTTCCTTGTGACAATAAAGGACTTTAACAATGGCAATGCTGTAATAAAGACCAGTAACCCATGTATCTTTATTCAGAGTCTCCATTTGTGCTAGTTGTATTAATACAAAATAAAGGTGAAAAATAGGGGTTATCTCATGATTCAGGTTAGGGAATTGTTTTTGTTTTTTTGACAGGGTCTAACTATGTAGTCCTTGCTGGCCTGGAACTTTCTGTATAAACTAAACTGGCCTTTATCTGAAGAGATCTCCTTGCCTCTGCTCCAGAGTCCTGGGATTAAAGACATGGACCGCCATGTCCTGCTCAGGTAAGAAATTTAACACTTAGAGAAATATTAAGTTTTAAATCACTATTCCTAGACAAGTGATTTCTCTCTCTCTCCTTCCTCTCTTTCTTAAAATTCATTTTGTAAATAATATTTTATTTCATGCATGAAAACATGCATTTTCCATGACTACTATCTGAAATAAGGTTTTGGTATCTGTCTCAGACACATGGTCAGAGTGAGGGGAAGGAATAGGAGGAGTCACCACCTTTTCATGTGGAAAGCTGACTGAGGCTCTTCCTTTATAATACCCAGCTAGGGGACAATGACTACTGGCTTCCAAAGGAGCTGCTCATTGTTATGGGGTTGTTACCTAAAACAAAAATGAAGAGGCATTTTCTTTTCTCTCTGGGACTCATAAGACATTGGGGTTCCTCTGAGTGAGAAATAATGCATAAACTCTTTTCTCCCTACTAAAATCATCATAACACCTTTTTCAGGTGTCAGAATGATGGCTGCAGTTAACCTCAAATGTAAACAGAAGTCAGGGCCAGTAGCAAAACACCCTCAGGGTTTTCATGCATTTTGACTCAGGATGAAGATTTTTATATATAAATTAAAGTTGGAGCACTTGAGACATGAGAACTTCTTGGAATTTCTTACTTGAAAATTTTTATATAAATGTATCACTGACTTTTCATAAAATGCCAAATTCTACACATTTGTATTGGGAGCTTGGAAGAGTCTCTTTCCTCACCCTTTCCACTGCTTCTGCTGTAGAGACAAGAGATTTCTGTTTCTATGGGACTTCCTTTTTACAGGAAAATCTGTAGAGGTCAGTTCTATAGCTCAGAGAGGTGTCACTTCCAGAGTGACAAGAAAGACCCAGAGGATACACACAAGCAGTGTTCACATGTCAGCCCCTGTTTGATAATATAGGATCACGAAACAGTATTATTGCAATGAAGAAAAATTCAGCCTGGTTGAGTGAGATACCTGCTATGACTAAATTCCCACCCAAGAGGGACTAAAGCACTCTCCTCACAAGGCAATCCAAAGGACTGTGACCCTGTTTAGAGGACAGATGTCACTGTGGGATGGGTGACTGGGAAGAATGAGTAGGAAATCTCTACAGGATGGATTCTGGGCAGATGGGAGTTTGGATGAACAGGAAGGTATCATTTAGGTGGTGACTGTCTGATTCCTGTTTCTTAGAGAGCAGACACCTGGGATAACAAGCAGGCACCTGGGGTGGCAGGCAGGCGCCTGGGATGACAGTTTTCAGTGGGTGTTTGACCTTGATTAACTACCAGTGTGGATTATGTAGGTGATGGTTGTCTTTGACAATGAGGCCGAAAAATCATGTTTCACAATCTGAAGAGCACATGAAGACAGGGGAGAAGAGGAATCTGAAGTCAAAGGAAGTAAGATGGAGGCAGATCAGATAAGAGGGAAATGTTTTTAGAAGAGAAAGGGCAGAAAAGGTGACAACAAGGTCAGGGCATAACAAAAATTTCACACTTATGAAATGGTTTTAATTATATGATTTACTTAATTCAGCAATTAAATTTAGTCAAGTGTTTTTTTTCCACATATAATATACCATTTAAATCCTTTTTAGCACTGCCAAAGAGGTCATTTTAGAACTAGAACAGTGTATTTTGGTTTATAATTCTAGAAATATAAGAGTCCATGATGGAAGGAGTCATAGCAGCAAGCAGGGGGCATGGCTGCTGGAGCAAAAAGCTGAGAAATCAAATCTCGACTGAAAACACAAAGCAAAGAGAGCAGTGGGGTAAAACTAACTAATGTGATGAGCTTCCTCCAACACGGTTCCAACACCACTCAAGCAGTCCCACCGACTAGGAAACAAGTGTCCACACACTCTAGTCAAATGGGGACATTTCTTATGCAAACCATCATAAGCAGTTTTAATGCAATATGTAAATACAGAGACCAATGCTACAGGCATTCAATACCAGATCCAAAGGCAGACTTATAGTTCTTATAGTTGTGGTTAGTGAGAATGCTGATAATGAAAGGATTGCTAAAAAAAAAAAGGGTCAGAATTTTGTGTGTATGGGAGAGAGAGAGAAAGAGGGGCAGGGGAGAAAGAGAGATTGATTCTGATGAGGTTTTCACGCTGGGAGATTTGGGTAAATGACAGAAAAGAAAGTCAGGTTCACTGTGAACACAACTAACCCAGATGGCAAGGGCCTGCTGAAGAAGGAATTGATTGATGTCACAGCTTTAAACAATCTGCTGTTTGGATGAGTACTTGAGGCATGCTACCACCCAGAACAGTGGTTGGATGGACTCCCTGACTATTGTAAATCTGGACAGTAGAACATGTTAGTCATTTTTTGAGGAGGGCACAATTCCAAGGGACAAAAACCTTTCAGGAATAGTAACTCTAAAATACTGTGCTTGGCAATGTGTTGGGAAGAACATAAAAGCTTAAATATTAGCCATAGTGAAATAGAGCCAGTTTATAAAAGGCCTCTTACCAATCAACCTCCTGTAGGTTATTCCTAAGAAACTTGGTCTCCATGGATAGCAAGAACAATATGCCTAATAAAGTAAATAGTTTAAGAATAACAAATTCATTTCTTACAATACTAGGAGCTAGGAAATCCATGGTACCAACAACTTCAGTGTTCAGTGTCTGTTGAGAACTTGTTTTTCTGGGTTGTAGACAGCCATCTTTTTGCTATAACCTCATTCTGAAGAAGGGACAAGGTTACTCTTTGGGGTCGCTTTGTATAAGGAAATTGATCTTTTTGTTGTTGTTTTAATTAATTAAATTTTCCTAGCCTGATCAGTTTCCCCTTCCTCCCTCCTTCCTTCCCTCCCTCTCTACTTCCCTCACTCCTTCCCTCCTCTCCTTCTAGCCCTTCCTTAGTTCTCACATCCACTCCTATTTTTCAGAAAATGGTAGGCCTCTCAAGTATATCAGCCAGCCATGGCATATCAAGTTGCAGTAAGAATAGGTACATCTTCTCCTATTAAGACTGGATGAGGCAACCCAGTAGGAGGAAAGGGTCCTATGGAAGGGGGAAGAAGGATTATGAGAACCAGAGGGACTAAGGACACCACAGGAAAAACCATGGAGTCAACTTATCTGGGCTTATAGGAGCTCACAGAAACAACAACTAAATAAGACACGTGCATGGGGCTGACCTAGGCATTCTGCACATATGTTATAGTTGTATAGCTTGGTCTTTTTTTAAAACTTTTATTTATTCTTTTTTTTAACATTTTTTTTATTTAAAAAATCCCCCATCCTCCTGCCCTATTGCCAATTCCTTCTGCATAGGGGATATCTAGAGTCTATCATTTCATTCAGGGTAGGGTCCAGGCACTTCCCTAAGAGTCCAGACAGAGAGAGCAACCCTCTTTGTGTTATGGACATATGATGTCTGTTAGTATTCGAGGGATAAACACTGATCCACTGCTTAGGACCCCATAGGTAGCCCAGGCCTCCTCATTGACTCTCACATTCAGGGGGTCTGGATCGGTCCCATGCTGGCCTCCCAGCTGTCAGTCTGGGGTCCAAGAGCTCTCCCCGTTCAGATCTAGCTTGGTCTTTTGTTGGGACTCCTAACAGTTGGAGAAGGGGCTGTCTCTGTCTCTTCTACTTGCTTTAAGGGAATTAATCTTTTTTTAATTTAAATTAGAAACAATCTTGTTTTACACATCAATCCTAGTTCCTTCTCCCTCCCCTCCTCCCCTATTCCCCCCACCAACCTCCTATCCTGTCCCCCTTCTGCTCCCCAGGGAGGGTGAGGCTTTCCATGGGCAATCTTCAAAGTCTATCACATCATTTGGAGCAGGTTCTAGGCCCTCCCCCATGTGTCTAGGCTGAAAGAGCATCCCTCTGTGTGTAATGGGCTCCTAAAGTCCATTCGTATACTAGGGATAAATATTGATCTGCAACGAGAGGCCCAATAGATTACTGAGGCCTCCTTACTGACACCCACGTTCAGGGCGTCTGGATCTGTCCTATGCTGATTTCCCAGCTACTAGTCTGGCATCCATGAGCTCCCCCTTGTTCAGATCATCTGTTTCTGTGGGTTTCTCCAGCCTGGTCTTGGCCCATTTGCTCATCACTCCTCTCCCTCTGTAATTGGATTCCAAGAGTTCAGCTCAGTGTTTAGCTGTGGGTATCTGCTTCTGCTTCCATCAGCTACTGGATGAAGGCTCCAGGATAGTATATAAGGTAGTCAGCAATCTCATTAGAGGGGAAGGGCATTTAAGGTAACCTCTCCATTATTGCTTAGATTGTTAGTTGGTATCATCCTTGTAGATCTCTGGACATTTCCTTAGAGCCAGATTTCTCTTTTAGTCTATAATGCCAGAATTCTCTTTAAGTCTATAATGGCTCCCTCTATTATGGTATTTCTTTTCTTGCTCTCCTCTATTCTTCCCCAGACTCAAGACTCAATCTCCCTTCTCCCTCATGTTCTCTTCCTTCCTCTTCTCCCCTTCTCTTTCTCCCAACTCCCTCTCCCCTACCCTCATGCTCCCAATTTGCTCAGGAGATCTTGTTCCTTTCCTCTTCTCTTTTGTCTCTCTTAGGATCCTCCCTGTTTCCTAGCTTCTATGGAGGTGTGGATTGTAGGCAGGGGAGGAGGGGAGGGCGAGGGAACTGGGATTGACATGTAAAAGAAGCTTGTTTCTAATTTAAATTTTAAAAAAGGGGAAAGAAGTAAAGAGAAGGGTAAGCAAGCCGGTTTGGATTCACTTGCAGGATTGCTACATAGCTATAGAGATTTGTGGGAAGTGTGTCCTGAAACTTCTC